TATAAACAAAGACTTATTTTAATAGCACATTGGAAGACTGGATACGCTAAAAGAACATTTCTGCAACAGAATATACAAGTTTTAAAATACTAATAAACTAGTAACCTCATTAACTATGTCATTTACTCAGTACTCACCCGTTAATCATCATTTCCACGTTTCATTGTAAAAAAACCACCTTGTTTGTTCTATTATCATCTCTATTTCTTCGTAACTTTTGTAATATAGTTTGATCTGAGTATAAATATTATCCAGGTGCTTTTCAAATATTTTAGTCCCTCAAAAACCATTATTCTTAATGTTTAATTACAAGTGCGTATAACAATATGGTTCAAAGAAAAGAAATATGTGGTTAGAGCTTTCCAAAGCCACCCCAACAAGGCACACATACATATAATACACTTATCATGATAATACATACTCTCACAAACACAATTAAGACACAAATCTCCACCCTTTTGTAACTTGGACCACACATTAAGCAGGCACGCAAGACTGTCACTGCTTTATGGGCAAAAAGCACTAGCCCAGTGCAATGTGTACCTGAGCACGACGAGTTTAGTCTTTGAAGATTATGCCGTAACGCTAAACTAGATAAGTCACCCGCCATGCTATATTACTGGCTTTTGGCATGTTTTAGCTAAACTTTTCAGGGTAGGAAGGAAGTAGAATGAAAGTGGGACAGGATTTTTATAATAACTATCGTGAGAGATACTAAATTAACCAAAAATCTCAGGTTACTCAGTAGGCTGTGTGGCACCGCCGCGACCCCGCACGCTGCTCATGAGGCCCCTCTATGGCTCGAAACTAGTAGAGCTTCTCTCAGTGAATTACCCGTGATTTTTAGTTAACTGGGACAGGATTTTTGATAGGTGTCGTATGTTATATGCTAGAGTATATCAATTGCAACAGCAAAGCCTAATTTTATTGGGTTGGGTAAAGTATTTTCGAAAATTCCCATAAGCACGGAGTCTGGGATGGCGCCCAATGTAAGGAAATAGGTTTACTTAGACTTTCTTGTTTTAAAATGCTTACGTTTACCTCTGGCTACCTCTTGGAAGATAAAAAGTCTTGACGCTTTGTCAAAATTGAACACAAGAGTCATAAATAAATCTGTATCAACTTTAACGAGGCTACTAACTACAAAAATCACATTTTTGTTTATAAAAAGAACCACAAACGTCAAACACCACACAACTATAAAATTAAAAAAACCACCAACACATACACAGCACATACAGATATACCATCGATCTGCTGCAATTAGCGTCCGACCCATCCTACTCGTTTAATTGCAACGAAACCATTTACTTATTCATCAGTGCACGTCGGATCGGCTGTATTTGCGGGACGATATGTTGGATGATGTATGGTGCTTCCGTCTGCCTATTGGTTATCATTGTGGTTGATAATCCACGTTTGGTTATGTCGATGTTAGAGTTAATTGTTTAGTACGGGATTATTTTATGGTTGAACTAATTTGACTGATTATGTTGTATGTACTATGATTGCCTTGTTTGTTGAGTGGCCGCAAATATGATCTGCAGCAATTGATCCTCGGTGTATGTACTGTATTATTTTTAATATAGAAATACTTATAATAAACACAATTAAAATGTCTGTGGCCATAACCTCACCCAAAATTACATATTAACATAACATAACATCACGCCTTTTATCCCTGAAAGGGTAGGCAGAAGTGCACATTGCCTACGGCACTTATTGGCACTGTCCAATGTAACACCCATTTTTCACGTTTATGTTATGAGTCCCATGTAATAGGAGGTGACCCTATTGCCATATCGGGCACATTTCCAGACTCCGTACTACTAATGAGATTTTTTTTAAAACATAGTAAATTACATATTACTATGAAATTTTAGGTAGAATGAACCAAACTATTAGCTAAACGTATCATAAATAGTAATGCGTACTAAGATCATGATACCTTATTATGTTTTGTAATACCGTACATATCTATTTTGGGAAGGTATAGTAATATTTTCGAATATATCCATCCTCCAATAGCTAAGTCTTCAACTATAATATTAAGGGCATATAGCGTAAAGTAAGTAGAACGGAACTAATGTTTTATTTTAAGGACAAGAGCGTTTTACGCAACATTGAACACAATTCCAGACTCCTTGTGAACTATATTTCAGTTTTTTATAAATTTATTTATAAATATTTAGTAGGAAAATATACTATTTCTCCGACTGTCATAGACAAATGGTCCAACTGCCCTAAACACTACTCTAACGAATGAATAGAAAAGATTTTTATATTATACATTATATTTACTTACGAATTCATTGTTATTTTAAGGGAAGTCTCATAATCGAAATTTTGCCTTGTTGTTTTTCTACAAATAATATTAATTAATCATTCCTGCAACCACTACACCAAAAATACTTACACAAGTCAAATCAAAAGTTATATTTATACCCTTCACACAAACACCCCTCCAAACAAAACTTCATAACTTTAATTGAAAACAGAACCAACATACACACACATACAAACAAAACCTAACAAAAGTTCTTAGTTACAAACGATTTGGGGCAAATCACGAAACGAAACCGGGGGTAATTACTTAACGATATTCATTTTTCACCCCAAGGTGAATAGTAACTGTGTGAATAGTGAAAAGCTGAAACTCTAGGGTTGTGTAACATTCACGTTTTCGTAAAAGTGAGTATAAAATTGCTTGGTAAATACCTACCTACTTTTTCTGACTTCAGCTTTCTAGGTTAGTGGTTTAGGGTTGAGGTAATGTATTGGTCACATTATTTTAATGTTTCTTTTCGTAGTTCCAAGGTTGTGGTGAAGAAACTATCAACGTGCTAAATGATAAACATTAACACGCCTTTTATACTGTGAAGCAGTAAACAAAGGTGGGACGATACATTTGTCTGTGACAAAAATCGTGAAAAGTAAAATAGTTTCTTTCATTTGAGTCCTTAATACTAATGTAACACAGCATTATTTCTTTTGTTGCTCAATGCATGAAATCGACATATACCGTCATTCTGAAAAACTTAATAGAACTTTGCCTCCGATAACTCGCTATTAGGATCAAACTGAAAACCTACATTTGACCACTGAAACAACCAATGTACAATTTTAAGAAATGAAATTGGAATATCTACTGGCACTGAATAACTGTCTATATTTAGATAAATACCTAACAACAAAGAGCTATGTTAAAGGATGACAGTGCATAATCAGGAAGAGACTACGGCTCATAGACTAGCAGTGGCTCGTTTAAGTCATTAGGCTATTCCAGGCAGTTAACTCCTGAGCACGGAACAAATGCACAATGTTTAGGATTCTGTAGATTCAGCTTGAAAACGTAGTCAGAGGAGACTAACATAGTAGTAACGTGAAGACTAGCATTTTCAAAGTAAAAACCGCTTTTTAGGTAGGTATATATTTATAATACATTACAATCTTGTCAGAAAATCTAGTTACCACAAGAATTGAAAACTTCTCAATAAAGAATTTTAATCCTATCCAGTGCGGTGGTCTGGTCTATATTGTATTTCGGGTATTTATGAGCGGCGCCGATTGCTCATGATTGGGTGATCCGTCTGCTAGTTTACCGGCCTGTCCCATAAAAATCAGTAGATTTTTTTTATTTAGATATACTTAACTCGAAAAACTTAACGTAAAACGTGTTACATAAAAACTTGCATACCTTTTAAGTATTTCCTACACAATTGTGGAAAACGAAGAAATGTTTTTCTTGGGAATAATCGAAATAATCAAGAGAAGAAGCTAAGCATCGCTTGGGGAGACATTTATGATACATGTATAAGAATTTCATGTCGGTAAACGGTGACCCATTTAAATACCTTTTATGTGAATGGGACTAGAATACACAGATGGTAATACACAGGTGTTTACTATTATAACTTTCTAGAAGTTCGCTACCCAGGAATTTTAAATTTATAGTTGAATATAAATGTGAACTGGATTGTTCTTAGATGTGTTCATAATGATATTAAAAAATGTTAACTTTTAAAAGCACTCTCAATTAAGTGAAATATATTTTTATACTAGCGATCCGCCCCGGCTTCGCACGGGTGCAATATGCATGTATTATACATATAAAACTTCCTTAAGAACACTCTATAAGATAATAAGATATAAGCATACATCAGGACAGACAGATGGCGGATAGCGACTTTGTTTTATACTACGTAGTGATGAAGTTGACTTACCTAGCTAATTGTGATAGAAAAGTATGTGGTAATCTAAAAAACCTCATTATCAGAATCAATGATAAAATCACAAGCCCTAATCTCCACTCTCCCTCGTGTAATTCACAGGTATAGCATGCGAATAACTACATTGTGTTAAAAACCCAGCGCAAAATCTTAACCAAACCACATTTTATTAACATAAAATAAACAGAATATTTTATCTCCCTTACACACTCAAAAAAGCAACCAGCTCTCCATTTAAAACACTTTTATTAACCTACTTTTCAAAAGCGACGCTCCAAAGTGTTCTAGGCTGAAAAGCATTCAGAATCTAGACTCAAAATACCACTAAATTCTCGACAGCAATGTTGCTTTCTTTAATTTCCCCTATAGCAATCAGTCTTTCTATCTGTTTTGGCCTAACCTCAAGGTTTCGTGTCATACAGACGAAATTTTATTAATAGCTTTTCAAATAGAGATATTTTTGCCAAAACGATTTCAAGTTGTATGCTCCTGTGATGTGTGTGTTGTTGTTGAAGTTTTAGGTTGATAAAAACATTGGGAAAATGAAAAATGATAATTTTCAAACCATATCGATGGAAATAAAAAAATTTGCAAGTTTAATTTTGTGTTGATAACGAAATCCGTGTAAATAAAATATTCTATAGTTACCTTTATCCTGAAATATTAAAATCTACTTTTGACAAAATTCTTAAACATTATTGTGATAAAAAAAAATAAAATTAAACCTAAAATCACTCATAACAAAGTCCTAATTAAAGAAATTTGACTCACCTCCGTTCCCTGGACCTTGAGCTTCATATGGTCTTCTCTGGTGGTCTTCCCGTCTTTTCTTTTTTTCCAACAATAGCCATCACGTCGGTAGCGGACCTTCTTACGGCTGTACAGCAGCATTGAGCCACTTTTCGGCCTGGAACAAAGAAAATATACGATTTAGTTCCGTAACAAAAATAAAAACTTTCAACATTGTGATATATTAATACAAGCAGATATTTTTCAATATAAAAGTTTGACCAAAAATCAAATTGACGATTTTACATTTTTTATATACAAAGGTTAGTCAACTTTAGCCCAAACTTAAATCAAGTCTTTTTTTAAGGGGGGGAAATCATCAAATGACTGCTCCCACCTGGGTGAGGCGGGAGGGAGTGTCAGACTCTTACTGACTAAAAACCACCCCGTTCCTTCTTCTGCGCGTCGAGCCGGAGCCCCGATTACCCGTTAGGTTCTCCGCGACAAACTTAAATCAAGTCTAGCATACAGATTATCGTTGACATACACAGTACTTTTACAATATCACATCCAAAATTATAACCATTTAACTCATGAATATAGACAATTAATCACTTCTAAGTAATTGCGAAATTCTAGTTCATAATTTAACATAAATTGTTGATTTCAAGGCGAAGGGGTGCGAGTGATCATTAAATGTAACAGAAGGGAGTTACTGACAAACTTTATAACCAAATTGTGTAAGTCTTGTAACGTAGAATGGATTACTAAGGGTACTGTAATGTGATGTATCGAATTTGAATTAAGCTGTTGTGTCTATTTTACAATCTGGAGACTTTCGGCTTAGAGATCTATTCACATAAGTTAATTAAGTCAAGATAAAGCGTAAAGAAATGGAGACAAAATGGATAAATACGTAATGATTTTTAGGTCACCTTCAAAGGTTATTTATTACCTACCCCTATATTAATTACAAATGAATTTATGTAATATATAACATAATAGTATATTAACAGTTTTCAAACACTCACGGCTTTGACGTATGACTTAATTTTACAACTAATCTTTAACACTAATAATTTGAACCCTTGAAATTTATACAAAGCTATCTTAACAACCGTCATTTGAATTATAGTAACCGTATCCGGTCCATATAGATTTATAATCCGGCTTTAAAACCGCCCACGTATCGTAGACGGCTCATACGAATTATCGGCCGTTACAAGTAAGGTGAAACGCGCACTCGACGACGGAATTTCGAAGACGTTTTTTATTGGCACTCCGATCTTCTTTTCGGCTTTATTAGATAAATTATTTCCTGACTGAAGTTAATTCGGTTGAGTGAGTTTATTAATAGGAGGGAATTGAAGTGAGGGGGGTTTAATAAATATTGTTGTGGTATTGATTTTCATTTCTTTATGTGCGTAATTTATGTTTAATTTCAATTTGAAGTTAATGTTGGTTTTTATGGAATCACTTTTAATCTTTAAAAGTTGCAGAGGTTTAGGTCACTTTTTACTTGTTATGTTATAATTCTACCATACACTAGACACAATTCAGATTTCTATTAAATAATTTTAACATAACATTGATATAATATCACTCCTTTCGTCCCCGAAGGGGTAGGGAGTGGTACACAATACAGCACTTAATGCCACTGTAAAATGACATGTAAAATAACATAATAGATGTGCGATAATAGTCACTATGCCACTGTACAATGTAACACCCACTTTTTACTATTTATGTTATTAGTCCCATATAATAGGACGTGAGCCTAAAGCCATATACCGAACACAATTCTAAACTCCGTGCTACTACTGAGAATCTACAAAGAAACCAGTAGTACTTTAAATAATTATAATGACAAAAATACGTTATGTACTTAAAAGGTTGACAAGAAAGAATGCCTGTAGCATTATGTCCGCCTTTGTACGATGATTGCACGTTAAGTTTAAATAAATAATAAATAGATCAGTCGGACGACACTTTTAAAACGTCTGTTATAAATATTACTGATCATAAGACACAACATTGTAACATCGTGCGCGTCAAACCTTACATTTTACAGCTCGGGGTTAAACCATAATATTAAATGAATGTATAAAACTGTATTACATAGCTGACTGGTTCAAGAGAAGTCAAAATACATCTGCGACACATATCAAAGATTATAATTTCTGTATCGATTTATGAAAATGTTATGTAGCACAAAGATCTTCATCTGATTGGTTGAGAGATCGTAAATATGGCTAATAAAACGACATCATTGGTTCTTTGGGTAAGTTTAATTGACAAACGCTTTGTCCAGTAATAGATGGAACTGACGATAACGAGACTTTATCTCCAATTCATACGTAATACTGTTGATGTTTTTTTTACAAAATATTCGACTAAAAACCATTACATGAAAATAACAATATACATAACCGTCAAAAAGTGTCTATACCTACACACACTATGTATAGGTTTTCATATTCACGAAATACCAAACGTAGTATATGTCACGCTATGATTATTTCATCACAATCCAGAACCATGACCTATCGATTCAACAAAAAATAAATAAACATAAACAACATCGTACCTAACTCTCGTCCATCCATAACGACAAAAACAGATTTCATTGATGCAATTTTATTTATTTAAAGCAATAAAAATCGTCGATGGAAGCGCACAGCCGTATTTCGTATGACGTCACAGGCGTACGTTATTTCAGTGACAAAAACAAGCTTGGTGTCAAATTCATGAGTACACCGACTAATAAATCGCTATTGAACGCATAAATCTGGACGATCTATGCTAGTTGCGATTTTTTTTCGCGATTCCGCCCCGGTTATCCGTCAATACGACTATCGAATGTTAAACGTTAGGTTCGAGGTCGCTCGTTGGAATAAAATTTGCGTAACTTTACTTATCTTCATGTTAAAAGTATAACGCTTTGATTTTATGGCATTCCAATGTTTAGATAAAATAATTTACGGCATTTAGGATGTTGAGTTAAAATTTATATCTGGCAAAAAAGAGGGAAACAAAACAAGCAGAAATTATGCAAACATCAATTATGTAATCACCATTTTGTCTGAGTTTACTCGACAAAAGCCCATCGTAAACGATAAACAAGGAGTCAACAGAAAGGCGAGGTTTTGGTGAAAAGTTATGCTATTACTAATTTCTTGTTTGTACGAAATTTTAAACAAAAATATGAATAATAAACTCTGGTAAAGTGGAGGACGTAACACACGTTAATTAATCGAGGATAAGACAGCGGAATTTATTTATACGGGACACTGGCCCCGAATTACGGACCGCCACTTTTTAACCTACGTAAACCAGACAAATAGTCGGCTCTGAGACATGTAGGGCTGTCACAGGCGGGATATTAACATGGATATAGTCGCCGGAGTTATTTATAACATTTAGATACGTGTAACAAACAGTTTTTTTTCTTCTAGGTATATTTGTGTGGTGTGTATACACTTTTGTATATTTATTTTGAGATCTAATGGAAAAATAAACATGCGCATTAACCTCATATTATACCTTTCCAGATATTTTAGATTTCTACTACCAAAGTAATCAAAATGAGAAAATTTAATTCAAACTAAATGTTGTTTTAAGTGCTCCACCAATCACAAAGCCATCATAAACATTTTAAATTCTACACCCAATCAAATACCCACAACATTTTCATATCCCAATTTAACACAACGCAATATCCCATACTTAGACAACCCTGGGCGAACCGCAAGCGATTTGTCAAGAGTGAACCGTGAACCGTGATTTTCCAAATAATTTTTCGCCAACCCTTCGCGAGCTTTTAACTTCTTTCATTGCTTCAGAATGCGCTTTCAAATTAAGCCCCGTTTTGTTGTTTTTTGATTCGTTGCTTGAATCGACGATGTTTTAAAAAACAATGGAATTTGAATTGGTGATTGTGTTTTGAATTTTTCGTTTTCTGTTTTACACAATTTGTATTATTACCTACGTGTGAGTGATTGGTGTATGTAGTATAGGTATTGATATGATGAAGTATCTACTTGGTGAAATGTTTAAAAGGATAATTCTTGTAAAGAATTGAGACTATTCTATCTTAATGGTCGGAGATAAAAACAGCAGTTTTAATAATAATTAGATACTTTGTTGTCATCGCCAGCACAAAAAAATATTTGGCTAATTTATTTCATAAACGAAGTTTCAACAAACACAACTTAATAAACATTATCTGTTTACACTGGTGACCTTTAATTTGAATATTACAATACAAGAAAAGCAATTACGTAAACAAAAACCAAATACAAACAGAATAAACAAATCTGGCTTCCAATCAAAATCGTGTAACCCACTAATGAGGGCATAAAAATTCACAAAAATCATAACCACGATAAACGCAAAGCGGATCTGCATTCACATTGCATGCCGACGCCGGCCGATAACTCCGATAAATCATTGCTAACGAATAATTCCGTATTTTTGTCTGAAGCCGATAATTTAAACATTACATCATGATTTTCATTGGCTGAAATAAAAGGTAGGCTTTCATTTACTGATATGGAGCCGTGGAAGACTTAACGGGTTGCCAGGGCTCCGGCTCGAAGTGCAGGAGTGGGAACAGGGTGGTTTTTACGCAGTAAGAGTCTGACACTCCCGAGAGGGAGTCATCCAATGACTTCTCCCTTCATTCTCCCTTTGATTTTCCCCTAAAAAAAGGCTTTTATTTACTATGTAGGTACGTATGTACATACAGTTAGCCACGTTATGGATATTGCCGTGCTGCAAAGAAAACAAAGATTAATTAATACCGTACAGATACAGTATTTTTACTCATTTTTATTCCCGAAGGAGTAGGTAGAGGTACACATTACGGCACTTAATGCCAATGTATAATGTAACACTCACTTTTCATTATTCATGTAATGAGTCCCATGTAATAGGGGTGAGCCTATTGCCATAAACCAGGCACAATTCCAGACTCCGTACAACTACTGATATTTTTTATTATACCTAGTACTTTTTTAACTTAATCTTAATATATTTTGTAAGCATTAATCAACTAAGTTACCAACCAAAGCTAAGTAATAATGTGTATAGTTATCGTAAAAAGTATTTGTTTTAAATACATAACTATTTTTGTCTACATACGTACCAAATAACTCGACGACTATACCTACATCCTTT